TTTCATTGGTTGGTAGCATGGCCACGTTGACAACCGCTTCAGTGAGGTGGAAAACTGAATTTCTTTCGAGGCTGAAAACTCAAGGTTTATTTTTGCGTGTATTACCTCTATTCAAATGAATTAGTAAGGTATGTAGATTTATCAGATTTTAACAAAACTTGGCCAAAATCTTCATCAGATATTAGCGTACCAAAGTATGTGAGGCTTTTGCGAAAATCGAAATATTTTTCCTGGGACGTCCCATTGAGTAACAGCAGTCAGAAAATTTTCTATTGTCCAACTTTAAAAGGGATTTCCTAAACAACCAACAGAAATATTGAAAAAGCCTTACACAGTTTGTTGGCCCATCAACTCCTGATTGATAATGTCCAGTCAGTTTGTATGTCTGCGGTAACACAAAGGTTGGTAATTCAGTTAAGCAAGTACGGTCATTTTTGCGTTTAAAGGCTTGTGCATGCCTATCAAAACAAAATTAGCAAACTGTATTGTTATTTTCAGAATATACAATTTATTAGCTTTACAAGGATGTACAGTTTACTGTGGTTTTCTTTAAAGCAGCACGTAAAGAAAGCATTTTCTGGAAGGCACTCCTGAAGGTCTACAGTAACCTTAAACAATAAAATACTGAATCAAGAATATCTCCAGAAATATTGGAACAGTGTTCTTCAAACATGGCACCAGAAATGTACATCACAAAAGAAACAACATGACACCTATGTTGTTGCCATGGCAACACTCTTGGCTCCTGTCTCTTTCCGAGAAAAACCAAATATCACCATTTGCAACCTTTTACAGTGGGACAGAGGGTCTTGCTCGGACCACACATGGTTCCCATATAGTCTTAACTCTCCCCATTAGATTGTTGGGAGTGGATGATCCTTGTTTAAGATAAAATCTGGGAATCTTAGTCTTAATTAAAACAGGAACAGCGGCATAACTGTTGTCATGGCAACAACATGATGGGTGTCATTTTGTTTCTTTTGTGATGTACATTTCTGGTGCGAAGTTTAAAGAACACTGCTTTAATATTCTAGAGATATTCTCAATTGAGTGTTGTACTATTTTAGTGGAACCACTTATGATGTCATCACTTTCCTCATTTGCATAATACGAAAAGGTGAATATCTCTAAAATGGAAAAAAGATATTCCAAAAAGGAAAACGCCATTCTTCTTTGCTTTAAAAAGCCTTTCAAATACACAGCAGTTATTTTTTACTTCATAGGCATGTTATGGTAGCTCAGATTTTGATTGGTCATTATAACCACTCTTTATTACTTGATGCTACAATCATAGTATCAAAAAACTGCCCAATCATTGGTGGACATGTTGTTATCATTTTCGTGACTTAATAGGTTACCATAGCAACAGTATGACCTGCTAAAAACATCTTTAATTACAGCTTTAGGGGTCTATAATTCAAACACAGCTCAGTGAAATTTTTTTATTGTCAAATTTTGATAAGCATGATAAGATGCAACTTTTGGCAAAGTTTAAAAAAATTCTGTACATAGGGTTCAGAGCTACCTTAAATTTTGAAAATTTAAGGTGGCTCTGAACCTTATGGATAGAATTTTTGTGAGACTATGTGATATTATTGCATAATCTCATATAGTCATCGGTCCGTGTTGAAGGTTTGAGGATTTTATGAAACCTGAGAATCTCTCCCCTGAAGAGAGTTAATAGTTAATGAAGATAGTGAAAACTCGCCTGATGAGAGTTAATATTTAATTAAGATAGTGAAAACTTGAGATGAAATCGGATTGTCGCATTTACAAAGCGGCAGACAAGATGATATTTGAAATGTAAACTGCCTTTGCTTCTGGTTAAATTGCTTTTAAATGGCTCAAACAGACCCAGGAACACACTCAGGTAAATAACAGTGCATTTATTTTGTAAATGATTATGGTATTGCTGATACAGTGTTCAGGTCCCCTGTGCTTTGGGCAAGCGAGAAGATTTTCACGAACGTTAATTGAATGGGAGCATTAAAGCTGACCACAGGTCAAAATTTAAGCTTGTTCTTTTGTTTTTTAAGCGATGATGGGGTGAATAAAATCCCAACTTGCGGTGTTGCAGTGATCTCAAACCCTTTGGTGTGTGACATTTGTGTTTTTCACGCTACAGTGTTTGGTAAAATAAAGTTATTTGAGGTGCTGTGGTTTCTTGTTTGACCTTTCTCAGACCTAAATTTAACATCCAAACTTTGTTAATCTGTACTAATTTATGACAAGCATGTGCCATTGTTTTTAACAAAATACAGACCAACACTGTCTTGGTTAAACTTCAATATGCTTCAGCTGTCACCAATCCAAAGCTGTTTTCATTAATACATAACTTGACAAGTAACTTTACCTCTGCCATGATGCACTCGTAGCTGGACTAAATGTATTATTGACTGTGTAGCTTTTTTCAGCTGATTTACAGGCAGTGCCAAAAGCGTTGTGATGCGTTCATTTCGTGTAAAATTGTTAGCGCCGCCCAAGACAATAGAAAGTTGATCAAGGTTAATGTTCTATTTACCCTGTGATCAACCATGGTTTAAGTAGCCTTCACACAGCAAACTTAAGTTGGCGAACTTGTGTTGGCAAACTCAAGTTGACATGTGTGAACAGCACAAAAACAGTCGGCAAACGCGTTGGCAAATTGTTGGGGACAAATAGACCTTGCCTCTATTCTCGCCAACGTTTTCTTGTTGGTAAACTCGTATCTGACGTGTGAACGATTGGCAAACATGTTTTGTTGACTGTCAACCAATCAAAACACAGGCTCTGTTCACGTGATTTATTTGCATGACACGTCACAAAATGGTGGACACAATTCAAGATAAGCATGAGGCCACTTTTAAATTTATCTAAGAGGTTCAGGCACGTCATGTTCATGAATCTTTACGAGGTGAAACTTCACGCTTGTTTTTCGAGAGAATCCCTCCTCTTTAAATGAATTAATAGAGTATGTAGAAGAATGATATGATTGATCATTGCAGTTATGCACACAACTTAAGCAGTTGTGAAATTAAAGCCTGAAAAAACATCAGGCCTGAATGGAATTTGAACTAACGACCTGAATTTTTTTCAGGTCATGGGTTCAAATCCTGTCCAAGCATTCTCGGCAGTTCAATGAACTTTCATATATTCTCTTGTATTCTTCATCTTCTACGGGTATATTATGAACTCACAAAGTGGCCAGCTCCCAGTTGGCTTGATAGCTCAGTTGCTAGAGAGCTGTACTGGTATTGCAGAGGCCATGGGTTTGAATCCTGTTCAGGCCTGAATTTTTTCAGCCTTTAATTTCACAAATGCTTAAGAGCAGCTTCACCTAAATATCAACTAGACTTGCAAATGGCAAAAAATCAAATTTCCTCAAACTCGCCCAGAATGAAGCCCTATGGGTACTAGTTACAAAAATATTATTTTAAGTTTGATCAATCAAAAAAATTTTTATGCAATTTTTCTTTTCGATGCCCCAAATTGACCAAAATCAATTGAAAATGAGTGGCATATTCAGAGGCTTTTAAACTGAAAAGTGAAAATCTTCATTACAAACTGACTGCACGTCGTATTTTTACTTTCTTTCTTGTATATTTAGAGCTTAATAGTTCGTGATTTGATTAGAATGAAAACATTTGATGAATTTTCTTAATTAACGACCCAAGACAGCTTAACAAGAGGTCTACATTTAGCCTATTTTCAAATGCTAAAAAGGCATTCTGGTACATGGCTTTTCCCAAAACAACTAGTTTGGTCTGAAAGAGTGTTGTTTGTTCTTAAAATTAGTGAAATAAAATTATTGGATATTAAATAAAATCGCGAGCACTGAGATAGCGAACTAATCACAGCACTTCTTCCTGAAAACATGACCTTTGACCCAAGTGTAACAAAACTGATTACTGCAAGAAAAGCAAGCGCTTCATTATTTTGAAAATCTTCTAGTGATATCTCTCTGAAACCTTTATTGCAAGAAACTATTTCCAAATATGAAATCTTACAGGGTCAAAGAAGGAGCTAAAGGGCACATTTTGTCATGCCAGGACAATAACTTTATTTGCTGAGAATTGAAGTCAATGACCGTTAACAAATTCCAGTGAAATTTGCAAACTTGAAGAATGTTACCCGATACCTACCTGAATATCTGCTAGTCAGTAGGTGAGTAAGAAAGTTCGAATCAGGGTTAAGGTCATTTGAGAGTGGATCAAGTAATCTGGGCTAGAAGAGTCGTTTTCTTAGATTAACCTTCAAAAGAAGCTGGGTCCAGATTTGGGAACCTCTACAAGAAGAAATGTTTAATGTTCCATGACCTGCCTGCTACTATAAATTCCATGCACATGCCGACCGCATGTTTGTCGTAAAACCAACTGAACTCCACTGACAGTCCCCATAGGCAAACCCAAAACAAACAATCCCAAAAAATGTAAAGTGAAATTGGCTGTCTTCATGAACAGCTTTTGCCGAATCCAGCAGGTAATATAACCACCAAATCTTTACCCACTAAAAGATGGTGTCACCTGAGTAAAATTGAATACCATTTACCTCAAGTCTAATAAATCTTCACTGAGGTTAGCACAATTTCACAAACCTTCCTCCACAGCATTGTGCAAGTCACATTTATTTTGAGTTATTCCTGGAATCATTCAAGCAAATTTGACACAGTTGTCAATCAAGATGACCACACCACACCAATCAGGTGCCCTGTTCGTGAATGAACGGGTTTTTCAAAATCGAGGGGTTTGAGGGCAAGATTTTCCTCGCTCGCCCCAACACCCCCTGCTTTGACAATTTTTTTCTCTCGCTCCAATTTACACACGACCAGGATGCGGAAAAGCACAGGAACGCCTGCTATGCAGGCTAGGTCAAAGACTGATGCTAAACGCTCAACTCTTCTTTCTTTGTGGTTTCTGCNCATTATGTAGACTCTTAAAAGTATAATTATGTCTCCACACTTCATTTTATTGCATTCTATAAGCATTTGTAGCTGTATATAATTGAACATTAACTATGGGCCAAATGTGTTATGCCTTGGGAGGGGGTTGCAAATAAATGCAGTCAGCACGGAGGAGCTACCATCGATCCAGTGCTATCATGGATTTTCCAAGTCTACAATAGCAGGGCCTTTCAAAAAACACTAGGAAACTTATTCACCCTGAATGATACCGACAGCCTAAATTTGACTGCCTGGCTCACGGACTATTTTGGAAAATCACGGTTCACGACGACTATGGAAATCACGATTCACGGGGAAAAAAATGGCTATTTCACATTTCACAGGAAATAAAAAGGGCCGATCACGGGTCACGAAATACCCACCCTCAAGCTAGAGTATGGGTAGCAATCCCGTAGGATCGCAAAACCTACTGAATCCCCACAGGGGGAACACTCCACTTTTCAGGTAGAGACATGCGCTGTTTAACCTCTTTCTTTATACATCTAAGCCTTCCTAGGTCAATGTGTTCGTAAAGAAGTAGGGTTATGCTACTAACAATGCTTCAACAGTAATCAACAGGTTATCGATCAAAGTTGATTATGATATAAACTTGATGAAGTACTAACAAATTTATGCCAAGTACTTCGATTCTGTCTAGAATGTCGATAAAAGTCCGAAATAAGCTCAACAAGACCCACGTGTAGAAATGCGTATCTGCCCTGAACTTGATCATCCTTACTTCCTAACTGAAATTGCTCGATTTCTTCTCAGATTTCGTCTTAAATTTCACTTGCAAAATTTATCCCGCAGATGGTCCTAGATCACGGAGATCAAGACTATAAAAAGTAACCTCTCAGCCGCCTACATGTCCCTCGGTAAAAGCGAAAACAAAAGCGGAAATAATCAATAATCGTTTCCTTGTGTCAAGGCCTCGCCGGCCAAGAGGAATGGGAGGCTCTGGGTAAGAGAATGCTCTCATCTACGGTGGAAAACCAGGGAAGTTGCATTAATTTGGAGTTTTTACTGGTTCATATTGTAAATCCTTCGCAGCACCCCAGCCGGTTTCTTGCTTAATACTGGTCTCTTTTCCCAGTCCAGTATTCCTTAATTTTTCCGTACGTTTGCTTCTCAGGTATTCAAGGAAAGAGTTTTCCATCCTAACCAAATTTTCACACAAGGCTTTTGTACTCGGCCTCAGATGCTTTCTGATTGAGTAACCCTTCACAAATTTATCATGATAAGCGCGTTGATGTCGCACGCTGTCTGTGAAACACCGTCGCTTTATCTTTTCCTTCCTTTGGCGAAAGTCAGCCAGATCTTCATAAAAGGCAGGCCCTTCATTCTTCACTTTGCTCCAAAACGTTTTATTAAAATGATCGAATAACAAAACGTCTGCTTTATTCCATCTTTTGATATTTTCTTGGACGCTGTTGCTCAACCTTCGTGCCTTCTCCTTGTCTAATCGCTCATTAAGCTTTACGTACAGAATGTCGTCTGTTTTCCAGCAGAGCAGTCGTTTCATCAACACCAGTGATTCATCAAAGTAATCCATAATCATAACCAAGTCAAACTCTTTGTCCAGAAACTGGATGTACTCGTTAACTGCGGAGAGATTTTGAAAATATTCTAAACTTAAACCCAAGTCAAACATCATGGGATTTCTTGCCAAATAAGTCATTACATTCGGACGGGAATGGTTGAGTGGAATTTCCTTCTCCAAAAATTTATCCAACGAGTCCTGCTTGTCCCCTAAGCCAAATGCTTTACCAAGATGAGCGAAATTAAAAACAGATTCAAAGTTGTCCACTGGATTTCGCAGAATTGTCAGGTACTTGCTGGTTGCTTTAGGAAAAAGCCAGTTCATTGGTTTTTTGTTAAATCTTGCGTGGCTGCACAAAATGTTAGGTTGTTTGGCAAAAAATCGAAGTGGAAAAATAATGTGAAATTTATTTGGCCAGCCAAGAAAAGTGCCCAACCCAAGGACAAACGAAAGATTTCTGGCGTCTCCGTAACGAAAGAAGATGTTAGTCATTGTGCTTGAGCCAGTTTTGTGTGTTTTGAGAAAAAGAATTTGTTGAACAGGTAAGCATTGCTCTTGTTCCAATTGCGTCGTAAGTACATCAATTTTCGTGGCATTTCTGGGCCTGTGGGAAAGAAAGAAAGAAAAAAAAACACTAAACATAAAATTTATACTTGTTCTCTAAAATTAAATATTCCTCAGTCGCGATGCGAAGCAAAGGTCGCAAGTAAGCCTGGAAAGTGAGCACCGAGCTAAAGACCTCGTTGGGGGGGAGGGGTGGGTGGGTAGAAGTTTCTTTTTCGTACGTTTGAGGGCTGTCTGAGTATGGCGCGTTTTCAGGGTCAAAATTAAAACCTAACTTTTCCACCTTTCCTTACTTGCTAAGTAAAATGTCTGTCATTTCCTGTCTTTGAAATTAGACAGTACGCATC